GGCGCCCCCCCCCCCCCCCGGGGTATTAGAGGGCAATGCCAGCCCCTCATTTTTTCCATCCATGTGTGGAATAAGTTTTGTTCCGTGCACCGAGGCATGTGCGGACGTGCTCCGTAGGTAGAAACCCAGGCTGCCGGCTGGGGGTGCTCTGCTACTCCGCTGGGCGGCATTTGAATCTCTCCCGGGCGGCTGCCCAAGCACTCGGCTTACGGGGAACACTGGTCCTGAGCCAGGACGGGTGCCTAGGCGCTGGGGGAACCCCATCAATCATGAGCGGGAACTGGCCTGAGCCCCATCAAACTCATGGCACTGACTAGCTGCAGGCAGCGACGGGGTTCCACGCAGGGCTGGGTTTGATGTATCCACCTCGTAGGGGAAGCTCCCTGAACCCTGGACACCCCCCTCCAATGCCTGGAGCCGGGAGAGTTTCGGAGGCTTTTTGCTCACTCAAAGGGTGTCTTTGTCTCCTGGAAAAAGGGAACTATCTGGCCTCCCACCCAGAGTCACAAGCGACGGGAGAGGCCTGTGGAAAGCAGGGAGAGCGTGTGGCCCAGCCAAGCAGAGCAGCGTTCAGCTGGCCAGCAGCCAAGCGGAGCATCTGGTCTAAACTTACCCCAGCGCCTCACTTGACAGGGTCTAATTCACAGCAGCCTGAAATGACCGGCTCTTAATCTGTGGGGATTGGCTGCTTGATCCCTCCCTGACCCGGGCTGACCCTGCCTGGCCGGCTAAACTCTCAGCTCTCACTCATCTGCAGGGCGGAACCGGGGCCGTTTCTTTTAGCTGGGTGGGAGCGGCAGCGCCTGACTTGCAGGCGGAGTCGAGCGCTGGAAGGAGCCCTGGAGTGGCCTGCAAGAACAGGGAGGAGAGACGGGATTCCCCCATCCTCTCTGAGCTCCCAAAGGCTGTGAGTCTGGCTTGGCAGACAGGACGGACAGGGCAGGCTCTGTGAAGCATTGTCCAGGGGCCCCATGTCCGGCGCAGCAGACGGGGAAATCTGACATGGGCCCCAGGCCAGCCCTTCCTGGTCCAAGATCTCCAAGTGCTTCGCAGACATCAGTGGGTTCGCCCTCCGGGAGGCTGCTCAGGATTGCTGACCCCACCCGGTCGGGGAGAAATGGGACCAGAGCCCAGAGCTTCTGACTC